ATACCCATTATTGATGTTTCACATCACATGGATGAAGACTATTTATGAGCTTTGAGACATTTCAAAAAAAGCATATGACTGCCAGCTAGGATATTTAATATTTAATTTTAATATTATTAAAAATAAACATGAATAGATATGCATTGACCCTTGTACAATCTCATATTCCCCTTATCATGTTTTATGCTAGAGTGAAAAATCTCATGAACTTCATTAATTCCCTATATAACTTTATTTATACTCCTCCCGTTCCTTTTTATATTTTATTTATACTGCTATAAATAGTTGATTCATAATACTTTGTTATTTCATAAAATCATTGCATAAATTACAAGAAATTCATGTCCTGCATTAATCAACATGATGTATTATTTTTTTTAATATAGTTTGGACAATGATATTTTGTGAATGAAGATGGTTTCCATGGACTAGCACTGCTGCTTCTCTTCATTTAACTAGGATGAACTGCTTGTTCCTTTAGCCTCGGTTCTCTTATTATCTTCTTGTTATTTTTGCTTCTGCTACTGCTTTTTTTTTTTCCATCTCTTTGAGCCGAGGATCTATAGGAGACAATCTCTCTACATTCTCAAAGTAGGGGTATAATCTGCATATACACTATTCTCTTTCAAGCTCAATTGTATTTCCCCACTATAGGGGGTTGAAGTTTGTTGCAACGTTTTTGTATTTATTTAGTCGATACATTTGCCTAGCGAATTCAGAATAATCAGACCACGAGTTATAGATACTAGATGATTAAACTAAGAAGGCGCCAGCCTTCAAATGTTCCAAACGGCTCACCTTCCCTGCCATATTTTTTTCCTAGTTAAATTAGCAATTAATTATTATTTCTTAACAATCGTGTAAAGTTTAAACTTAACAGGATAAAAGTAGGGGTGTACATGGCAAGATTGGTTCGGGTTTCTTAAATATCAAATCAAATCTTTTGTGTCGGATTTTTAAATTTATAAACCAAATCAATAAAAGTCGGATTTTTTAACCTTGGGTTTTTTTCGGATTTTTGGGTTTTCCCGGTAAAGTATTCATACAAACATATAATTTACTTGTACTTCAAATATTTCTTTAGTCCTATCAAAATACAACTATCTAAGGTGTTTCTTAAAAAAATAACACAAAATATGATATGATTAATGTCATTAAAATATCAAACAAAAATAATAATAATAATGAAATCGCGTAAAACAAATATTGCAAATTAACAAGTCATAATGAAAATGATCATAATTTAAAAGTACTAAATCATGCTAAAATAAGTTTAATAAATATTAGTTACATGACTAAATATTAAAGAAAATTAAA